TCATGCACCATGCATATCAAAACGGTACCAATTTGATATGTGGTATACCTAAATCAATTATTTGGCAACTGATTTAAAATATGGCACTCATCTTTACAAAATTGCAATCACATCATCCATTAAATTTGTTATGCCACACCAAATTTAAAGGTATGACACGATAGATAATTTTTGTACCGATGATAAATTAATTTGTACAAGTTTTCTCTTATTAACTTTTTAATAAAAAATTTAATTTAAGCATAAGTTATTTTTGGTTTATAAAAAAATTCATTTTGATTTTCTTTCTAATTTTCTCTAGAAGTTCTATAAAAATTTATCCAAACATATACTAAAACATGACTCAGGCTGAGGTGAACAACTTGACCATGTGGTTTGTGGTTTAGGGTGGTCAAATTTATTAAAATTGTTAGATTTATTTGTAAAATATTGAGTGGTCTAGATGATAGATCATATGTAACCACTGTCCACCCTAGCATTTGTCATCACTAAGATGGTTCCATTTACAAACCTTTTCAGTCTCTCACTCACGTTGGTTGCACCAAGTTGAAAGAAATATTGCGGAACCTACATGAAGTAGTAAGCAAATTAAGAGAGCAAAACATTAATTTTAATATATATAATGATGCGCCAAAACATGAAGCATTGAATCTCCAACCATAAAAGAATTAGCAGTGATGACCTCGACGTTCTCTTCATGCAATATTCCAATAATTTCACTGAAAATGAACTAGTTTTCGACCCTACATGTTAAGACGACTTTAAGCGAATAACCCATTTCATGAATCTCGATGAACCATTAGGTTTATCCTATGATGGGAATTTAGGTAATATGTACAAGATCTTGATCGTTATTATAATTTTGATAAGTTAAATTTTTTTTTTTCCTTGAATCTTGATTTTAGGTTTCCTTGTGTTTCAGAAGCACTCGAACAGTAACTACGAGCTCTCTTCCTTTCTTCTCCTGCGCCATATTCACTCTTGTATCTAGCCTTTTGATGTAGTTGATAGCTTCATCATTTGATTGGCCTACTAGAACTAAATGAAAATTTTATATATGTTAGAAAATTATTATATAATTTTTCTATTTCTATTCCCTAACATGTTCGTGGTTTTGGAATATTTTGGTATATATATATATATATATATATATATATATATATATATATATGTATATATATATATATATAAGAAGAGTTATAATAATATCGGTATAATTTTTACTAAATATTTTACCATTCAATAACTTTATATTAATTAAATGTGAATTTTGTAAATTCAACCATTAGATTGAAAGTTCATATTACTTTATATGTTTATATTAAATTTTGTTAAAATTGAACAATAACTTGAAAGTAATCAAAGTATTCATCTTTTAATATATTTTGACATGTATATATTACCTCAATTTTATTTCATAAAAATGAATTATCAAATCATCTTGTATTAATATAAATTTTGTATATATGATCTTAGAATAAAGAACTTTCAATCTAATTGTTGAATTTACAAAATTCACATTTAATATAAAGTTATTGAGCGGTGTAATACTTAATAAAAGTTACACTGATATTATATTATAACTCTCTATATATATATATAATAATACAATTTAGTCATATTTATATTGAATATAAATTATATCAATTTATTATGTATATAATTAAAAATATTTAAGTAACTAATTTCAAAGTGAATATCTATGAATATGGGTTGTCTTCTCTTCACTTAACTATCTATATTCAATCCATAGTAAATTTTATCTGATGATATATAAGGGTTCGAGTTATTGTTGTTCTTTATCTCCTTATCTCTATAATGTCCATAATAAGAATATTAGCAGAAAACGCAACATTGTCGCAGCTTCTGGAAGGGGAATGAAATTGCGCAGCATTTTCCTGGTTTCTTCGTTCTTCCTTGATATATAGACTCTGTGGTTGATATGTAGACTCTTTGCACGCGGCTTTGAAACTTTTTGTTCACTTTTTTTCAAACGTTCAATTCAGTTTGATTGGATACACTTATATATTCGTCACATGTCAGGTCTTTTATGTGAGCACCAAATTCAAAATTGATCCAAATTCTTGGCTTTAATTGCGGCTATTCATGCGTTTACGTTCATATATATATATATTTGTTCATGACTTGACCCATGTATACAACTTTGATTTGAACTGGCTTTGTTTGGATTGTTATTGATTCTGTGTAATATGGTCGGTTTCATGATCTCGCAATTCAACTCTCAATCACATGATTGAAATTGCATGTTCTGTCTTCATAATAATTATTACAATGCATATGAGGTTCATGTGCACATACAAAGATATGTTACACGCAATATATTTCTTCTTATCTTTGCTTCTTCAGTCTTCTCTTCCAGTACTAGAATTTAGAATGGGAAAAATAGATTATGCTTTTTAAATCATGTTGACTACATTGATTTGGAATTTTATTTATTATACGTTTCCGTCCATTGATATTTATAGTATGTTATTTTATTTTCTTCATTCCTTAATAAGGAAAGCATATGTTTGATTCAAATGAGACAAGAGATTTTAATGGAGGTGACCAGGGACAAAGGGAGGAGAGACTTTGAGAGGTCATGGTCCCCCCCTTTTTTTTTTTAAATGTGTCAAAATTACTTTAAAAAAAATTAGCCCCTAAAAATTTATATAAAAAAATATTATGATAAAAATCAACATGTTTGAATTTATAAAAAGAAAAAAACAAAAAAGAAATATATATAATATGATAATATAGAGATAAAAAAAATATAAATGATGATAAATTATTTATAATTTTAGAATATTTACATATAAGTGTTAAAAAAAATTGATTTCATTTAACATAATGTTCTAGCTTCGTCCCTAAAGGTGAGGGAAATATATTTTTTTATTCATAAAAAAGAGAGATTTTGAAAATTAATTTATTTCTGTACTCTTATATTTATTAATTTAAATACACAATTAAGAATATTTTAGATATTATATTAAAAATATTTTCAAAGTTCTCCCTTTTCTTTCCAAATTCTCTCAATATTGAAAGGGAGATAAAATTAAATAAGTATATATTTTACTCCTTTTCCATTCCCCTTCCCTTGTCCTCTAAAAATCAAACCAAATAAAAAAAGTTTATAAAAATTTCTCACTTCTATTATACTCTAACTAAACATTCTATAAGAAAAAAAAATTAATATGTACAGATTAAATTGCTTCAACAATGTGTAAATAATAATTATTCAATACATTAAAAATTCGATTTTCATTAATTTTAAAATAAATATATCCTTATTTATTTTGTACCAAAATATTATATATATATATATATATAGATATATATATTTA